TGACTTTGCAAATTAATCGTCAAAACAGAAGATCAGTTATCTTATTTATCTAAACTACGATGTACCTAGTTAGCTTAACTAGAGATATCTACTACCGTCTTTTTTTGCAGCAGAAGGGTCTAGAAATGACATGAGGCAGGTACAATCAGAAAGTCTGAGTGTCTCCAGCTGAGTTAATTGTGGCAGTACTAGGAGTTTGGGGCAGTTACAGAGTGGGAGAGATTTCATCTTGGAAAGATTTTCCATCTCTGTTGGTAGATTCATGAAATCATTTCCGCTGAGGTCCAGTTTCTGCAGTTCTCGCAGAAGGCCAATGTCAACGGGGATACATTTGATGTTCAAGTTTATGAGATTTAACTCGGTTAAGCAAGGGAATTTTGAAAAACTATAACACTGGAAAGGTGCACCGTCATTGTAGTTGAACCGCTTGATGTCGAGTGATTTAAAACCGTAAAAGTCAGACATGATCCTAGGCTCCATCATGAATTCATTTGGGATTCGTTGCTCAGAACTAAAGGAGATGTGTGCTGCTTTTCCCCAGAGATGCGGCATCCAAAAATTTACCTTTCCCTGGAAGGATACATCTGTAAGAGAATTCAGTGACTCTACAAAATATGGGAAATCCACTGCCTGGACGGCGTTGCTGAAAGGCAGGCAATTCTCCTATAACCATCTGAAGATTTATGAGGCGATCACAGAGGGATACATCAAGTTTCGTCAGCGAAGGTAAGCTACCAATGGTTTTTGGAATTTGCTCCAACCTCGTGCAGCCTTTCACTATCAACTCCTCAAGCTTCGGTGCCAGTGAAATATTTGGAAGTTTTGTCAGATTCTTCGATAAAGCGACTGAGTAGAATACAACAAGAAGAAAGATAACTTGGACGACGTTGAGGATATTCCAAATTTAAATAACAGTTTCGTTGACAGCTTACCGGGTTCCCGTCCCATAGGCTCTCTAGATTGCTGTAGCGCAGATGAACTTCAACAAGACAATGTAGAGGAAGCTTGGGAGGCAAGGTTGGTAATGGATATGCATCCCAATGGAGCAACCTAAGGGAGCGCGAAAGTACTCTAAAAAGAGATTCAGCTTCGACCCCATATCATCCAGGTGCTTGAAGAACTTGAGAAATATGAGATTATGCATCTGGTTAAAAGCACTCCCATTGATAGGCGATGATGCCAGTGGCATTGGCAATTCACACATATGCAGTGCCATGCCTTCAATATTCTCTGTCCCCTGATGAAACATAAAAGTGACTTATCACACCACATGCAAAAACTATTTGAAAGCAATTCAACAAAAGAAGAAGAAGAAAAAACGAAACAATTATTCTAATCAGAAGTCTTACTGTGTTTCTTTTCAGTACTTGATAACTGTTGAGAGGATCCCACAAAATTGCTTGCTTATGAGGTATGTACTTGGATTCTTTAAGAACTATTTCTTTACCCATTTGTTGTATCAAGGAATGCATGTCAATGAATCCTTCATTTGTTATATGGATGAGAGACTTATCAGCCAGAGCTTGTATACTTGTTAAAAAGACATGCGACCCGAAGAAAATTGGTCTGGCTTCGCATGTCCAGGCTGAAATAGCTACTTAGTAAGGCATTCATGATGTCTCCATGAGGAGCTGTTTCAAATGTGTCTGATGTATCTTCCCACTGCTCTATGGAGCTGATTCCACGGAGATATAAGCTGAAGGCTTTTAGGGCAAGAGGAAGACCTTGAGCGAGCTGAGATGCTCGAATCGCTAATCCTTCATATGCATCACCAGGAGGAACTCCACCTTCGAATGCAAAGTTCTTTAACATCTTTAAAGACTCCTCACTTTCCAAGCACTGAACCTCGTGTACGGTGGTCACTCTGCATGAATCGAGCAATCTCTTATTTCGTGTGGTTATGATGATTCGACTCCCTTGACCGAACCAGCTAGTCTCTTTTGCCAAGGCATTTAACTGCTCCACTTTTTCCACACCATCAAGCACAATGAAGACCTTGAGGTTTGCAAGCCTCGACTGGATAAGTTTTGCTCCGGATTGTACGCTCATAATTTTACGCACTTGTTTTGTACTTAAGATATCGCAGAGAAATTGATGTTGTACCTCTCTGAGATTGTCTTCTTCACAGGTTTGGTCTACGTTTGCTATGAAACAATGAGCTGGAAATCGTCGTCCAAGCTGTTCGTAGAGATATTCCAATCATATTAACCTCACGATGAGATTCTATTCTCAAGAGGGGTTTCACTTGTTGAACTTCCACACCAAATACATCGTCCAAAGGTGTTGGCTGCATAGAAGCCAACTGGCTTGAGATGTCTTCAACAATTCCCTTAACCATCGTAGCATCGTCCGCACTGCATTGTCACGGTATTGTCATGGTAGTAGATCAATATATAATACAATATTGGTTAACTAACAAAAAAAATACCTTTTATACTTCTGTGGAAAATATCTTATATGATGAAAGAAAAGCTTACCAGTGGCTGGAGTCCACGCCTGAAAGACCAGCAACCAGGTTTAGAGCTTCTTCCCATCCGAGAACCTTATCGGCCGTTACTCGACCCCGGTAGTTTCCTAAACCAAAACTTCTTCGCTGGTGTCTCACATCAGAAGGATCAACCCCATAGAAGATGGGAATGACTTTAATTTCACCAAGCTTGTAAGACTCCATTATCAATTGGAGTCCACCTTGAAGTAGCATAGTTGTCGGAGAGAACCACAATAGCGAAATTTGAACCTTGTATGGCTCTGTGGAGTTCATCAGAAATGTGATCCCCCATCTCAGGCTTTAGGTTGTCTTTGAAAGTATTGATTCCATTTCCATCAAGTGTTGCGTACAAATGACTGACAATGGTTCTGCGTGTGTCGTCTCCTCTGAAGAGGAGGAAGACATTTTGTTTTCAGATCGAGGAATCACAGTTCTCAAACAAACTCGTTATCTGTGGAAACCAAGCTACAACTTTCTTATCATTGGCTATTTTGAAAGCCACGTCCACGCAACGGAGTTTAGCTGCTTCGATTTTCCCTTCAGACTTATGTCTGCCTCTTCTTCCTCTTCCACTGGGGAATTCTCTGTGTTTGTGAGCCATCTTCGATGTATAGGAGATGTATATATGTAAATTATATGCTTAGGTCTTAATTGTAATTAGTCATACCCTAATCTCTTTCTAGTCTCTAACATCTGTATGTATAAATATGTGTAATACTCTCTTAATAAAATTAATATAACATTCATCATTTACA